AGAGCGGTTGTTGCTTTCTCTTGTTTTCCGGTTAGACAATGATTTGTCGGTTCTTTCATTTTTATTCTGTAGAAAAGAAATCATATTAAAACACAAAAATAAATAAACTTTTAATTCTATTTCAAATCTTCAATGGCTGGGCTTGTGGATCAAAGAGGTTTACTTCATGTTTTGATTTATTGAGTTTAAATTAATTCTCAAATCAATATTTAGAATATTTTTATGGAAGTTAATGAATGCAATTGAGTTTAAAAAAATAATTGATATATATTAGTTGACGTGGTCGGTTTACTTGATTTTTAAATATAATTAATTGCATATAAAAAAGAGCTCATAGGAGGTGAATTAACTGCCAAAATGTGAAATAAAAACTAATGAGACAAATAATTTATCAAAGCTATAATGCATGTGATTGAGTTTAAATAAAGAGATAACTTGATATATATTAATTAGTTGATTTACTTGGTTTTTAAATATACACTCAATTAATTATTATCGAACAAAAAAAGGGCTCACAAGAAGCCAGTTATTATAAAAAAAATAAAAATGAAAATGAAATAAGAAATAAGAAATAATAAGAAAAGATCACTATTTGAGAAAAGATATATTCACTTGATCAATGTATCTGAATGAATTAATTTGAAAATATAGCTTGATTTTGATTAACATGATTGATTTGAAAATATATATTTAATCTTTCAAACTCACAAAGAGTGGATTAATATTAGCTAAAAAGAAAAAATAATAAGAACTCAGGTACCATGCATGGTTTGAATCTCATATCTCATGTGTTCTTATTTTAAATGAAAATAGCATCCAATTTACTAAACATTTATGGAAGTTTATTTTTATATAAAAAAAAAAAACTAAGAGAGGGACAGGCCATGGATCACGTAGAGCAATACCTCAAATGTATTAAACTATTATTGCTTAGAAAACATTAATGTTTAGGTGAGCTATCATCGTTCCATCTTATTGCTAAATTTAAGGTTTAAGATTAATAATTAATCTTCTTGGCATGTGTATTTTACTAATTTAGATTAGCAAGTTAGTTAATTTGTACTGTATTCCCTTTGGGAAAGCAAAACGATTATAGATGGCAGGATTAGCAAGTTAATTAATTAATATTACAGGGTTCCCATAAATCCATGCGCCCTTTTTCTAATCTATATGATATGTTTGAGTAATTCTATGTTTGATATTGTCGTTTGAAGTTTTTGTAAGAATAATTTTTGATTAAAAATATATTAAATTATTTTTTAAAACTTTTTGTTATTAACATATTAAAATCATCAAAAAATATTAAAAATAAATATCAATTTAATAAGAACACATGCATGACTCATTTATACTATGTATTGTTCTAAGCAAACTAACTGATTATATAGATTAAAGAAACCAAAATGACAAGATAGTTGGGATATCACGTTCACGGTATAGGTTTATCATCTCAAGATCTGTTTGGTTGATATCTTAAAATAAAAAAATAAATAGAAAAATGATAGGAACTTGCTTGATATAATTACAAACAAAAATAATGAATAAAAATAAATATATTGTTAAACTTGTTTTTTTTTTTTGAAAACAGCCTGATATGTTATTCTAACAGTCCACGTATCTATTATCTTAAAAAATAATTAAATCGTTGCCTGCAATTAACTCCCTTCCGTGATCAAGTGTGATATCTACTAATCTAGAAGGAGATTTGCAAATTGCAAAAAGATAATAGAGTGGTTGTCGTTGACTACCTCATGGATGAGGCCATGAGGTG